GAAAGATGAGGAAATATTGTTCCTTTTAAATTTGAAATTTAAAATCTCCTTTACTAGAACATTCTTTAAGTCAAAAAACTTCTAGGACAGGAAATCATTTTCACCTGAAGTACATTTAACTGAGCACGGTGGGAAAACTTTACGATGTGGGCGTTAGAGTGAATGTGATGAGGTTGACCCTGCCATCAAGAGTGGGGGAGGCCACGGCAAGGGGTGGGGGAGGGGAGGAGGGCGGTTTGGACAGCTGTTAGCCACATAGCAATGATGGATGACCATGCGCTCTGTTACCTCCCAGTGTGAAGTTCATCTTTGTGCTGGACCCCAGTTTCTAGCCTCTGGACATCATTAGGGTGTTAATGGCCACAACATTGTGGTTGTAGCTCTCTTGTTTGTGGATGTCAACATTAGCTCCGTGTGTGTGTGCAAACGCTTAGATAAACGGTAGCACCACTTTCCTTGCTGCGGCAGTGTTTACACGCTGATATCTGTCTGTTGTGTAGAGTATGTGTGGCTGAGTGTTGGTTTGTGTGTCTCTGCTTTGTCCCTGAGCTTTATTAATGAACCCATGACCTTCTCTCTGGTTTGAGAGTGGATCAATACCAACCATTTCCACACTGGAGGGAGGGGAAAAGAGATAGAGAGACAGTTTCTCAGTTAAGGTGGACCGAGCCGGAGACAAGTGCAAAAAAAGATTTACTATGAGGAGAAAGTGCAGGAGAACAAGAGCGAGGCACATCCCTTAGCAAAACAAGTTTGAGAACTGAAAGCGAGAGAGAGATACAGGGCGGGGGTGGGTATGAAATGAAAAAAAAAAAAATACAAGAATTCAGAGGAAGCAGGGAATTTGACGTTTGGTGTTTAGTAGGTGAGTCGGATGAATGGGTGTAAAAATAACATTTCCAAGAAACAGGCTTGAGGGAAAGAAGCTAGTAAAACAGTCAGATTTGTATGGCTGTGAGTTTGAGTCATGAGCAGGTAATCAGGTAAAAACTATTTTTTCAGGCTACCTCACCATCATCCGTGCATTAGTTACTGCAAGCGGCAATACAGTGTGAGAATTTATGTATGCTAATGAATTTAGCATTCCGTCGGCCAATGTGAAGAACGGAAACACACATTGATTTACTGCTAGCACCCCAGAACACATAGCACTATCACTCACGAGGAGTTTGTGGCGTCATGTTTTGCGCTGCTGTTATGACGGGCTAACTGCGATTTAGATGCAACGTCAATGTCGGCTGATCAGTGATAATCAGACAGCCTTTTGAGTTTTGATGACAAAAAAAAAGCTGTGGAAAAAGGAGTAGAGAGAGGAAGGAAAAAAGGTTCTAAAAAGTTTTTGTTGCCACTGCCAACAATGGCAGAATAACAGGAGGTGGTCGAAAGCGGCAATAGGCCTAGAGAAAGGAAAGAAGGTAATTGAACAGTGGCATCTGTACAAAGTCTCACCTATGTACGAAACATACACTTTTTCCTCCAAACCCTTCAGTCATGACAGACATTTACCATGAAGTAAAACTGCAGGACTTCCCACATTCTACATATATCGCACTAACTGATGATCCCCAGCTCTTTTCTACATGACTAAGACAATATTGTTCAGCCAGTTTGTTTTTTTCTGCCAAAGCAGATCATCATACATTTTCATGAAGACATAATTTAGTCAGCACCAGGGTTCATAGATGCAAATGTTCTTACCCAAAAAACAAAACAAACCCAAGACTTAATATCAGCTAGTATTAATACATCAAAAAAAGCAGAGAGAGTCTAGTGTTTTAAAGATGCCCTGCTGCTTTTCCAATGAACAATGTTTTGTGCATTAACCAGCTGCTGTGGGACCAGCAGTGTCTAAGGTGGGGTTTAAGGTTTGGCCTAAAATCAATACTAGAACTGAAATCATCATTTTGTGATAATTAATATTATTTCTATTACGTTTGGTCAATAGATAGTTTGTTTACTTTTATCTATTTAATCATAGATGCATAATTTCACACAGTTCTCTGGTAACCTTGAATTGGGATTACCTGATTGGTGGATTAATTGGACACTCCATTGAATATGAATGTGAATGGTCATTTGTTTCTATACATCAGCCTATGAAGGATCAAGGACCAAGGATAAATCGTAACTTGTAAAACTGTTGGAAAAAACCCAAATTCTTCACAGTCATCTGTCCCATTAAACTTTCCAATGACCAATAATTGACTTGTCGTCAAATATTCATAGCCTACGTCTTGTAACTTGGTCAAATTAAATATTGGAAATGATCTTTTAATTACCTACATGAAATTCAGATCATCTAATCAACATAATTCAGTTGTGGGCCTTTGTAGGACACGGTTCTAGTTCTGTGGTTCTAATCTGAAAGGATGTGCCAGCAAATGTGTTTAAGTAATTACTGTAGGGTTGATTAACGGGGCCAGGGTTGATGAGAGAAGTTAATTGACAGAGTGAACAAATTAAACTAGGAGACACCTATTAGACAACTTGTCTTGGATGATGATACCTGTGGTGCAGGTTGTTTGATATAATTTGAAAATGAAGTGTTTGGTACACACTGCAGAGGAGCAATGCTAAGTTAGAGACAGAGAGAGACATAGAGGGAGAGACAGAGAGACATAGAGGGAGAGTGAGGACAGTGAGAGAGAGAATCTTTACGCTCATATTTGAAGTCAGAATATCAGGCCTCCCCTTGGCTCGAGAGTTGCTCTCATCCTATTATTACATGACAATAGGAAAGTGTTTGGAGAAGCCCCCGTGTAGACTGTGGCTAATTCCCTCTCTGTAGTTTTTTCCTGACCTTTCTCTCCCCCTCTGAGGAATGTTGAGCTCAACAAATCCCCATCTCCAGCAACACTTTAATGATACTAATTGTCAGTGTAATTATGTATTGATCTGTACAGTGTGTGGGTACTGTGTTGCACACATCATTATCAAGAGTCATCAGAAAATATAGGGCACTGTTTGTGTGTGTGTGCATTTAAAAATAAACAATTCTTGTTACTCAAACATAGATACAGTACATCTGGTTGATGGGTACCAAAAATAAATACATATTATCTGGTTCCTAAAAATAAAAATGTATTACTTAACATGATTAAAATGTGTTTTCTGCCCAAGGAAATACTTTTTATTTTTATATCAAATGGGACATTTGTTAAAAATGTGTGTGTTAGATGAAAAATATTTTTTTAGCCAAAATCACATATGAAATGGTTGAGATTTTTCATTGGACCATTATTTTTCTGCCAATGGTGTTTTAACCAATACTTTTGGAGTTTTGTAGATTTTTCACTTTTTCACAATTACCAGGAAGGACAGGATTAGAAATAAGTGTGTCGGAGGAACAGTTCAGGTGGAGCGATTGTGAAGTTAACATTGAGACATTTGCACACAATGTGATCAGTGATGGTGGTTGAACTGGACAAAAAAAGCTTGAGATGCCAAGAGGGAAGGAGTATGACCCTGGAGGACATGAGGTGATCATAAAGTTGGTTTGGTGTAAAAATAAACAAGACAAAGGATGGGAAGGGTGGAGACAGATGATTCATCGAGGTGACCCTCAGGGGGGAGCAACCCAAAAAGACTTAAGACATCTCC